TTCTTTTTTTTTACCGTGTCCTGTCTGGCTGTGAAGCAAACAGAATTGATGTCTGAATGCTGGTAACAAGCCTTACAGATTTACTCTCAGGTGGAGCATCTTTCTGATTTTACGTCAGATGAAGTAACTATGTCAGATTTGGATGTGTTTGACTCAATGGGGGGAGGATGCTGGTCTGTCTCTGACTACAGAGAGGAATATTTGGGAGAATCATGCTGGTCTTTCCACAATTATGGAGGAGAACTTTGGGGAGAATGATGAAATATCACTTTCTTTAGAAGAAAAGGAGGAAATGTCTCCTATTGATGAAGAATTAGAGGAAATAGACAGTGACACATCTGTTTTTTCAGAGGAAGAACTGAGTCAGGGCGACACATGTGCGCTCCAGAGGGGCCTCAGTCGACGCGCAGGTGCGGTCATAGAGATCGGGGTCGGCAGGTGGTGGTGCGGGGGGCGTTCGGCCCCCCCGTCGGTGGGTGACTCGCCGGCCTCGGCTGGGGGTCACCGGCGCCGGCTGTAGTGGAGTGGGGTCGGTGATGTCGTCGGCCCCCCCTTCGGCGGGTGGCATCCCCACCGCAAGGTACTGGGCTTCGGCTGGAGTCTCAGCGCCACCATCAACTCCCCCTTCGGCAGGTGGTGTTCCCACTCCAGGGTGCGGAGTCTCAAGCCTGATTCATGCTTCTCCGTCAGCTCCGCAAGGGACAGACGCGCACGGATTGACGGAAGCATTTTGCCCTCATACTTCTCCGTCTCCTGGAGAGTGTTGCAAAGCAATTGCCCGCCAGGACAACAGAGGGCGTAGCGCTGTTCTGTGGTATACTGTCATGTATCCGGTCCAAGATAGTGTGTTTATATTGTGTTTTTTTGTATATAAGAGACTTTTTAAAACAGACAAATTTGTCTCTCATCCTCCTCCACCTCTTCATGCGCTTACCACCTCTAAACCCACGTTTCCTGTCATTTCCGTCCACAAATAAAACGCTTACTGCGTATCTTTTCACTCCTCCAGTCACGGGGGAATTAAACGTTCATGTTTTTAGTTTTTTCGCGCGGTATTCTTCAAGCTTCTCCAGGTCTGCTGCTAGTTATCCTCGGCTCTGTTTATGTTTTTGAGGACGCAATGGCGGCGGTGTAGACGGCAGAGGCGTCCTGACCAATCACAAGCTTGCATTGTCCGTCTCGACTGACGGATGTTTAGAAAAGAGAGCTCGACTCCATCTGTCCTTGCGGAGCTCTCCGCCAGGCCCGCAAGGACGTTGCGTGTCTCCACACTGACGCAGACGGAGAAGCATGAATCAGGCTTCAGGTGCAGTGCCACTGCAACTGTCACCCTCCCCTAGGGCAGGTGGTTTTCCCACCCCCGGGTGAAATAATCCTGCTGCAGAGACGACACAGACTCTGTGGGTGTCACTGACCTTGGAGGTACTGGACAGACTGGTCACCCTGGCGGCGCCGTTGTAGTTAACAACACCCAAAGAGGGAATGACATGCAGCAACAGGCCAAGCGTGCATGGCTCAGTCTACTCGAAAGGCACATCCTCAGACTGAGCAGCAGCGACAGGCCATGCATGACCTGAAGGTCGCATTAGGCTCAGCTCCGTGCCTGGCGCTTCCTGATTGTGACAAAGAGTTCCACCTTGAGGTTGGGTTCTCATCTAACTGCTTCAGTGCTGGTCTTTATCAAGTATATGACTGTGACAGGCGTGTCGTAGCATATGCTACTGTGCTGTGGTCTATCGTCGACCTGGTCCAAACAGTTCTTTCCTTCAGGAGTTTAGTAACTTTCTATCCTCCACTGTGACGCTGTCCAGACCGGTGATTTTTGGTGACTTTAACATCCACGTTGATGATCCCTCTGATCGCTTTGCCATGAATTTCTCCAGCATTATGGACTCCTTCAGCTTTACCCAGCATGTTTCTGGCCCCACACACACCAGGGGGCACACTCTGGACCTTGTTTTTACTTCTGATCACCATTACATTTTCTTTAACTTGTCAGTTTCTGCATCCCCACCTCCTGCTCGCTGTATGGTTACACTGTTAAAAAAATCCGTAAATTTACGGGTCCCTTTACCGTGGATTTGCTACGGATTCACTCCGTTTTGCGAAATACGGAAAGTTTGCTGTTGCGCACGCGCATGCGCAACAGCAGAATTTTCTCCCCCTGCCAGAATATTCCGACGCCATTACTTTCAGTGCGGTCAGTGCCTACCTAAATTTCTGCAAGTCACAAGGAAAGTTGGAAACAGGTTGGTTGTGTGGAATGAGAACGGAGTGCCACCTTGTTCCCTCTCGTACATTAAATTGGCCTCGATAGGCAGTTGGAAGTGGTGTGTATGTGAGTGGACGTTTGCTGCTAGCTGCGTTAGCATTAGCATTAGCCAGCCGCCTGCGCTTCGTAAGTACGTCAAAAACCATTTTTCCCTCCCTCTTACATGAAATTTGGTCTCGATAGTCAGTTGGTAGCCGTGTGTGTTTCATGGTAACATTTGAATGTGTGGGTTTTGCGTTATTTTGAAGCGTGGTTTGCCCAACTAAAGTTAGCGTTAGCCCATAAATTGGATGCGCGCGCTTTGTGTGTGTGTGTGTGTGTGTGTGTATTGTTATAGCTCGCCGTGTTACGTTAGCATGCAACTGAACATGGTAATAATTAAAAGGGGTGATAGTTAAGTAGAATCAGATTTCCTTGCAGGAAAAAATTTAAAGCCCAAGGAAAGTGGCCCATGCAGCCCAACGCAGATTACTTATTTGAAGGTACCTGAAAAGTGAATGTGCTTAACTGTGCTGATATAAATGTATTGTTTTCATATTGATTCTGTTCTGATTCTGGCTATCCTTCAATTGGCAAATTCAATCTCTTAAAAATGTTGACTTGTAACATTTGTGGCTTTAATGCTCGGTCTTCGACTGATTACTTGAAACACTGCCGAACACACAGAAATAATAATAATGTGTCTTTTTTATGTGGCCATAGGGATTGCAGAAGGAAGTTTAACACATACAGTAGCCTTGCTGTGCATATGTCACGAGCTCATGTAGACAGAAGGAGCACACAAACATGGAACCGTAATGTGTCTGTACAGTTAAGGTGCTTGTTTAATTTTTGCAGCAGTGAATATGATGATCTTAAAACTTTAAAGTGTCATTTGAGTGGTCACATAGATGAGGGTTTGACTGTAACATGTCCCTTTGATGGATGTTCTAAGACATTCAATGTAAAGTCATCCTTTTTAACGCATATTTCCAGATACCATAAAGGGTGGGATGTTACCAAGATAGCCCCAGTTCATATATGTGAACTAACAGAACGGTCTTTCCAAGGTGAAATATCACATGTAGAACCTGAAGAACCTGAAAGTTTTAACATTGATGCAGAACAAAGTGATAATTTCTGCTGTGATCAAGTGAAAGACAACTTCACAGAGAGTCTTGCTCAGTTTTACTTGGGTTTACAGGCAAAATATTTGGTTCCAGCCTCCACAATAACAGAAATAGCAAATGAAATGAGAACTATAAGTGATATTCAACAGGAATATACTGTGGATGCACTAGCCTGTGAACTGGGGCAGTATGGTGTTCCAAAGGAGACTGTAACATCTCTTGGGAATAGTATATACGAGCAGAGCCCTATGCACAAGGCATTACATGAAAAGGGTCATTTAACTACGCAACACAAGAGGCTGAAATATTACAAGTCACACTATGACTATGTTGAACCTGTAGAAGTCTTTCTTGGACGCAATCACAGTGGCCAGAAGAGGCACTATCATTACATCCCAATACTGGAAACCCTCAAAGTAATTCTGAAACAGCAAGGTTTAGATCAGCACAGTCCTAGTTCTAATTCTGAAGATGATGTACTGTGTGATGTCACTGATGGGTGGGCCATCAAATCCAATGCCATGTTTTCCTCAGACCCAGACAGTTTAAAGGTAATGCTCTTTCAGGATGCTTTTGAGGTGGCTAATCCACTCGGATCTGCCAAGACAAAGCATAAAGTATTGGCTGTCTACTTCACACTTGGAAATTTTCATCCACACCAACGATCAACTGTTGATCAGATACAGTTGGCATTACTCTGTGTAGAGAAAGATTGCAAATACTTTGGAATGGATAAGATTTTCAATAAGCTAGTGTCAGACTTGTGTGAGCTGGAGGAAAGGGGCATATCTTTCAATGGAAAAATATATAAAGGCACTGTTGCGTGCATAATGGGCGATAATCTGGGCTCCCACATGATTGCAGAAAATTTCAGCACAGCTCAATATTTCTGCAGATACTGTTTGGCAACAAAAAGTGAATTTCAGTCTAACCCTCTCACAGTTTTCACTCATAGAAATCCAGCTGATCATAATGAGACTGTGCGGTTTCTGGAAAGTAACAATGAAGTACACACTCATCACGGTGTTAAATGTGACAGTGTTTTCAACAAACTGTCCAACTTTCATGTGTGTCAGCCAGGCTTACCAGCTTGTTTAGCTCATGATCTGTTTGAGGGGGTAGTAGATTATGATTTGGCATTGTTTTTGCAGTTCTTAATCAGAACACAAAAGTGGTTCAGTTATGAGGTTCTTAATGAAAGAATCAAATCATTTCCTGGTGAAAGCAGCGACAAGCTAAACACTATTCCCACTACAGGAGCCAAGCTTGGAGGACATGCAGCCCAAAACAGGTGGCTTTTGAAATTCTTGCCTGTTTTGGTGCATGACACAATTGAAGATGCTGATAATGAAGTATGGGGACTTGTACTACTTCTGAGGGAGCTTGTTGAATTTGTCTGTGCACCTCGGCTCTCAGAGTTGCAGATTGCTTTCATGAAGGGACTGATTGAACTGTATGTGGAATTGAGGCAAGAGCTGTTTCCAAGAGTTCAACTTAGACCAAAACACCACTATCTGCTTCACTATGCACACTTGACTTTACAATTTGGCCCACTCATATATACTTGGACAATGCGCTTTGAATCAAAACATTCTTATTTTAAAAGGTGCACCAGTTGCTTCAGGCTTATCAGTCTTGTGGTACCTTGTTTCGTTCCCAGGTTCATGTGTCAGACTCAACACGGTTCTATCCAGAGCTCTATGACCAGAACATAAGGACAGTGGTTGGTGAATTTGATTTGAACTCAAGTAACTCAGTTGTCACAGAGAGTGCGCAGGTTAAAGGCACTAAATATGCAAATGGAATGCTGGTCTTACTGAGCTACGCAAAAGGACTACTGCAGTTAGGACAAATAGCAAGCATTTTTGTAAAAAATGAAACTACTGTCCTACTTTTGCTTCGAGGGAAAACTGCCAGCTGGATACCTGAGCTTGGACTCTATGAACTTGATGAAAATGCTTCTGACCTGTTCAGTTGCCATGATTTGAACAAACTTGTTGATTATCATCCACTTTATGCTTACCACAGAGGTACTCGGTGGCTCATTCCTCTTAAACACACACCAACATGGAACTTGTGAAAAACTATGTCAAGAAAGCAATGCCATCGCTCAGTAGCGATAAGATGGATACACTCATGGCTAAACTGGAGGAATTAGGAGTTCTCTCTGTAGATGACCTGAGCCTTGTGGACCCGGAGGACATTAAAGACACTCTGCCATTCATTCAGTGCAAAAGATTCGTCAGAGCTGTCAAAGCATTGGAAGCAGGTGAGTTTTTGCCCCTCTGTTTTAATGCAAGTTTTCTGAAACTACAAGGGTTTATTCCAAAAATGCCAAAAAAAAGTTGCCATCAGCTGTACATGGCAATAATTTCTCTATAATTGGTTTTCATAATTAGGTCCATTTGTATTCCTGGTTGACCCAAACTGGACATTGAGGACCAATGTATTAATTGATTTGCAACAACTGTGATGTGTTTAATTTATGGAGATGTTTGTCATGTCATCCATAGATTCACAAACTCCACCGCAGTTCACCCGGCCTGGCCCCTCATCAACACCTGAACCACAGAGGTTTCAGCTGCCCTCAACACCACCTGAGACAGCCGACTCCCCATCCCAAGACACATATTCTGTACCATGGCACAAATTTCCCTCAAAAGTCATGGATGAGTTGCGTGAAAAAAAGTACATAATGGGGAAAGACAGACGAGAGATGGTTCGGATCGTCGCTGAAGATTACCTCCATAAACACCCAGGAAGACCTGGTAGACAAAAGCTGAGGGAACTCGCCAGTATGATTGTAGGACAATATCCTGCCTCCTTCAAGCTGACAGAGCCGTTTGGAAACAAACCTTTTGCAAAAGATGGTTCTGAAACTCTCTTTCGTCAGCTGGAACACAGAATTGAAAATATGAAGAGGCCACTAAGCTCACTGAAGAGGCAAGCAGGGGGTGAAAATTCGACAAAGAAAAGGCCCAGGAATTCAGATCTGTATGGATGTGTTGCGTGGGATCCAATCATTGAGGGGGCCATGTGTAGAGAAGACCTGCTGTCTAAACGAGATGAGTTGAAACGTGCCTTTCAAACCCAGGATCTTCAGGTGGGTCTGCAATCATCCATTACAGACACAGAAAGCTTTATTAATCCTCAAAGGGATATTCGGTTCCTACAGTCCACCATCTAGACCAGTGGTTCCCAAACTTATTTAGCCGCGCACCCCTTTCTATGTCCCGACCATGTCGACGCCCCCCCCCCCCCCCCCCCAGCCCCCACATCGGGGCATGGCTATATATATATATATATATATATATATATATATATATATATATATATATATATATATATATATATATATATATATATATATATATATATATCAGATGTCAAGCTAAACAGAAAGGGTTAAAAAAAATTCCCCATCACTTTCATTTTTTAAATAGTAATTAATAAACATTCGATACCATTACAATTTCCTTTGATTTCATTTTGAATAAATATTTAGAGTGCCCAGATAGCACATAAACATGCAATCTAACGGTTTTCTTAAAGTAGGAACGTTTAACCTGTGCGGCCAGAGCGCTCTCCTTCCTTCTGCTCTGCATAAACCTGAGCTGATCACCTACTTGTGCGTAATCAAATGTCTATAGGGGACAAGATATAGCCATGATGTTCACTTTTACCTCAGACTGACTTATTGCTGTTTTATGGTGTGGCTGAATCTGCGATCCGCTGCCACGCTGACTGGAACAACAAATAGTGCAGTAACATGAGATGTGGTCAGGTTCATGAGGAGTCACTGGCTGGAGCGGACCCGACTCATCCCAGAAGCTAATATCTTAATTTGAACTTGAATGAAAAATAACCTCTTAAAAGTTTTTATCACGGTGGAGGCAGCACTCATTTCTGCCTTCAGTCTGACAGCGGGCCGGAGGTAAAGCAGCGTGTGCGCTTATTGAATCTGTGTGTGTGCGCGCGCGCACGTGCGCGCGGCACAGCCGCTCAAGTCACCGCGTCTCGCGCTATTTAAACCAATGTTGTAAAATGACTTCTGTGCACCCGTGAGCCGTGGTTCAGCCGGAACACGTCTGACCTCTGACAGACGCACTCTGAACTTCAGATCGTCAGCGCGCTGTTAATAGCCTGAATGGGAATCATTTCTTGTTATTTAGTTACATCCACAATGTTCTGTGTGTGAGGTTTACAACGTCAGAACACCTGCATGAGACAGGTGTTAATTACAATCTGCCAGAATGACTCGCCACCTTCAGATTCCTCCAACACCGTTAAAAATGATCAAATACGGAACATATCGGCGTGCGCAGGCCAGAGTGCTGAAGCTCGGCGCATTGTTATTATGAAGCACATGTGGAGGACACGCGCGTGCAAAAATGTACTTGTTTTCAATTACATTTATTGTGCCCACTTACTTTTTCTTTGGCCCACCCACAAATGAGTTTCTACAATAATGGTGACATATGACAGACTTCTCTGAGCTCTGCAGCCATTACACTTTTCACCTCGCGCACCCCCTAGCGGCAGCTCGCGCACCCCCAGGGGTGCGCGCACCACACTTTGGGAATCCCTGATCTAGACATACAACCATTCACACAGCAATAGTATATAGCAGGAGTAATGCGATGAGGTCTGGGTCCAAGTACAATTTAGGACACATTGTGAAATTGTAGATCGTCTGTATCACTATGCCCATAGTCAATTGAAATTGATACCCTGTTTTATTATTTTAATTGGTTAGTTTGACTAACTGTTCGACTGTTTGTCTATCTGTCATATCTTTAGGAGTCATCTGTTCGAAAATTGATGACTGAAACATATCCCATTCAGCGTGAAATCCTCAACGATGATGATACCACTATTGCCGTTGTAAAGGACGAGTGGCCGTTTCTGTTTGAAGTTCCTCACCTGTTTGATCATGCATCTAAACTCCTTGGCTTCTCTGTACAAAACAAGCTGGCACAGGTGTGTTGTTATTGTTATTATTATGATTGTGCTGTGCTGCTCCATATGGAGAGAATTTTGTCTTTATTAATCAATCAAAAACGGATTTGCAACCAAAAAGAGAGTTGAGACCAAAAAAGATAAACTGGCAACCAATCAAATAGAATAACTTGGATAAACAATCAAATGGAATAGATTTGAGACCAAAAATCAAGAAGTGACAACCAAAAAAGCAGGACATTTGAGATCAAAACAGAACAGGTTATTTTAATTTTTTTCAAAATTCTCTCCATAGCTCCAAACGAAAATGAGTGTTAGTCTTATGTACTTGTACAAAATTAACACCTTGAACCTTGAACAGGAACTTTCCAAAAAAGAAAAGGGGATCAGTGACTTCCTTGACTACAAAGGGATGAAGACGGGCGAAGGTCCAATACAGCTCATCTGCGGCATTTCAAAATACTTCAAGGAAGACTCTTATAAACTCTTCCACAAAAAAGAGGTAGATGTTGTAGATTTTAAACTGTGTGCAAGATAATTATTTGCATCCAGTGGTGAACCGAGTAACCAACCACAGTAGGAAGTATAGATTCCCCTAATTGTGCTGCTGATATTCTCTATAAACTATTTACATTAATGTTTGTGCATAATGGCTACCTCTGTCTGATGAAGACACTAGCAGATAGTCAATTTGCCAGCAGGTTTGTGTGCACTGGAAACATTCATTCATGTATCATGCCTGTCACCAAAACAGATCTCTGCAGATCCTGAAGTCGAACTCCCAGTGACCCCATGCATCCTAATCAGAGGTTTGTAGTTAAATCTTTTTTTGTATCCCAGCAAGCTGTTGTTAGCTGTTGTTATAAGCTGTTGTTGTGTCATATTTATTAAAGAAATGTTTTGCTTGCCTTAAAATGTAGGATTTTTTTTTTTTTGTAAGTCGTACATGGTTTTTATCTGTGTTTAAGGTGACCAGCAATTCAAGATTGCTGTTGATGGGTTACTTGTCAATGACCACATCACCTCTCCCATTGTGGCCTTGAGCTACGTCTTCTCCATGTTTTATGTCTGCAACGTCCAATACCCACCGGAGATGGCTTTTACTCTCGAATTCATGCAAAGGTAAGCACTCATTGTTTGGAAATACTTTGTAAATGTGACTTTGCCGTGCCTTTCTGCACCTGACCTGCTTTTTGTCAATCTACACTAAACCCGTTTGTCTGAGATGTACAAGCTCAAAATGTGTCGCCACATGCTGTGAGCTTTTAGATCAGCTGTTATTGGCTTATGATCCCCCTGAATATGGATTTGTTCGGAGATTTTGTAGCTCCCTGTTGAAGACCATTGTTGGAATAAATGTGTCATATCTTTTTAAAGGGCAGGTAACATGCTTCTTGCTTTAAATAGTGTCCTAAGTCAGTCAATAACAAAACAAACATAACATGATTCTAGTTGGGAAATGGAGCAAAAACATATTTTTTTCAGAATGGTTTGTTGACACAAAATTCTTTTGAGCTATCTCTTTAAAACCATTAGCACCTGAGACCAGGTTATGTCAGTGGTGGTCAAACCTTTTCATGTCAAAGACACACAAACTGAAATTTATTTGGCTGCAGACCCCAAACTCAAAATATGTTGCTCCAGGGACCATAGTGGACATAGTGGATTCATGCCAAAATGTTAATACTTGTACTGATGTGTAACATGCACTGAATGTGACAGTTTCTCCACTCCATATCTGAATAACCCCCAGGACAGTCCGTGTTCAAATGTGCTGTTACACCTTTTGATAGGACAATGTCAACTGTGTTTTCTATCCCCTTCTGTGTTCTGTGCATTTATAATATCCCTGCATACACATTGAGGATGCATGCTGTCATGTGTTGGTGATAAGCAGACTTCTCGCTCTTGCAAACATTTCTGTATATGCGCAGTGTGAATGCATGTGTCTTGAAAAGACAAAGGAAGAGATAAGCTTAGCCACTGGCACCAGCACCACAACAACATTGGGTTCTAGACAGATGGTCAATTAGAATGATAGAGAGGTTCACACATAGGGGCATATTGAAGAAAACAATTGTAGGATTTTATTGAACTGCTCCACTCCTGTCAAGCCACACTACACGTGCAAACTTTGTCTGCATATCACTATTGTTTTTTTTTTTTTTCCTCAGAGTTTTCTTTGGGGTCAATCCTGAGCGAGGCTCCAAGGCAGAGAAGAAGGGGAAGAAACGGCACTTCATTCCTCCACAGGTGTGCAAGCTGGTTTCTCAGCTGAAGGAATTTGAATGCAAGCAGAAGGAATCTGAATGGGCCATTTGAGCTGTTCTCAGAGCTCAGAAAATACCTTTTTGGACTGAATGTACACACACACGTACACACACACACACACACACACACACACACGCGTACACACACACGCGTACACACTCACGCGTACACACACACGCGTACACACACACACACACGCACACACACACACACACGCACATACACACACACGCACACACACACACACACAGGCAAATCCAAAAACATGGGGTTTGGGAGTCGAAATACAGATTTTTACAGTATTAGGTGAGTTCAGATGTTTTATGCACACAACACACATGCTGCAGTTTCAAATCCCCCATGTTAAGGGGGAGGGAAGGTGGGTGATATTTGTCATTCCGGTTAAGCTTTTCCTGTCATTGTGGAGTTGGAGGTGTAAGTTTTAATTTTTTTTTGTTTGTTTTAAGTTGTTTTAAGAGTTTTAAAAATCTCTTAATGGCATGTTGCACAGTCATCCTTCTAAGGTCATGGTTGTTATTGCTGCACTGATGTTTTATAGAAAAGTTGTATAATATAATACTTCTAATGTTCTATTTGTTTTTTGTAGAAAGGTCAGCCACTGGTTGCAAAGCTCTGCCTGTCGGTGTGATATGTGGAGTTGGAGATGTAGGTTTCTGCATCCTCCTGGAGGGGCCTCCTCATTTTGCACTGACAGGTGAGACAGCAACAGCAATGCTGGCAGTTTTATTGTCTTATTTTGTCATTGTCTTTAACAAAACAAGTTGTTATTAATGCCTGTCAGCCTGTGGATGCTAAAAAGTTGCTAGATTTGGCATCTCCCCAACATGGCTGCACTTCTTTGAGAGAACAGCAGGTTTATGTATGTAAAATTAAAGGAAATAAATAATTGCTGTGATTCAACATTTGTGCTTTATTGATGGTAAACGGTATAGAGAATGGTACAGAATTAAACATTTTAGGATGACTGAAGTGTCCGTAAATGGTATGGATTGAGTACTTAAATAATACGGAATATTCCATTTTAGGTTTGATGGAACTGTCCGTAAATGGTAAAGAAAAAGTCAGGTAAATCTACTGAAATATCTTTTATAGGGTTTACGGAATTGTCTGCAACAACGCAGAAATTTATGGAAAATACGGAATTTTCCATTTTCGGTTTGACAGAAATGTCCGTCAATGGTACAGAAAAACTCGGGTAAATCTACAGAAATATCCGTTTTAAGGTTTACGGAAGTGCTCGTACAATAACGGAAAAAGTGCTGGTAATTAATTACCAGCACTTTTTCCGTTTTATAACGGAATTTTTTTTAACAGTGTAGTTCTCGTTTTCTTAATGAGAGCATAGCTAGAAATTTTTCTGCTACTTTTGATCCACCCTGTTCCTCTGATAACGACCCAGATTCCTTAACTTCTCAGTTCAACGAGCACTGCCTCTCCATTCTGAACAACATCTGTCCTGTCAGAACCAGATCAGTTCCTGCAGTGAACCCTACTCCCTGGTTAAATGACAGCCTTCTCAGCCTAAAGAGCCAATGCAGAAAAACTGAGCGCTTGTGGAAGAAAACCCATCTCAAACATCCATCTGCTGCACCTAAAAGATCTTCTGACATCCTTTAACTCTGCAGTCAGAGATGCTAGGGTTTCCTATTTTTCCAACCTGGTGTCCCAGAGCAAGGGGAACCCCAAGGTGCTGTTTAACACCATCAGCAGCATAGTCTCTCCTGCCTCTCCTACAGCCTCCATCCACTCTGTTACAGACTGTGAGAACTTTCTGCCTTTCTTTGTGGACAAAGTCAATAAGGTTAGATCTAGCATCTCTCCTTCAGCCTTATCGCTGCCTCTCCCAACTCCAACCAGGCCCATCATCCTAGATAGCTTTGCTCCTGTTTCTTTGCCCGAGTTAACCAAACTAGTTAACTCTATGAAGACCTCTGCATTCCCCCTCGACATCTTACCCTCATCTTTGTTTAAAAATGCTTTTCAGTCCATTGGTCCCAGCGTGCTCTCCATTATTAATGCTTCTCTGGTTTCTGGTCAGGTCCCTGCTTACTTTAAGAACGCTGTAATCCACCCGCTTCTTAAAAAACCGAGTCTTGACCCCTCTCTCCATAGCAGCTTCAGACCCATCTCTAAACTTCCGTTCATCTCCAAGATCTTGGAAAAGGTTGTGGCTAAACAACTCACAGCTGCTCTTGATGAACACACAACATCTATGATAGCTTCCAGTCAGGTTTTCGTAGAGCTCATTCTACTGAAACAGCTCTTCTTAGGGTCTCTAATGACTGTAGCGGCCCACTTGGAATAACCACGCAAGATGCAGAGAGCTTCGACTGGTGCAACTTTAATCCTCTCCTTCTTTCACCTCGCATTATGACACCGTGAAAACTATATGAACAGAAAATACAAATATCACAGTACTATAATATTTCCACAATAAATGCATAGAAATCATGTTTACATTTTAAACTTAACACAAACAATTTTAGTAAACAAATAATGAATTTTACATGAAAGTAGCCGTTTTTAGCCGTTATAAGTTGCAGTTCTTATTTAAATAAAATGACAGTTTCCTTCCATTTGAAATCAAATGAACAACTCGTTTCACACTGAATACACCATCAGTCTCCCCCTACCTCCTTCTGCTTCCAAGGGCGCTAAGTTTGAGCTCAGCCCAGCCTATCTTCCACACTTCACTGCGATGTCCCTTAAACATGACATACAAACGGCACAAATATGAAGCGAACCACTGTAAAATACCCTTTCACAAGTTTCCATGTGGAATATGACAAATAAATAACATATTTGCATGTTTTACCAACTCTGGAGCAACACGAGCATGTCGTTCTGATGAGCCGGGAGCAGAACGTTTAACGTTTACAACAGTAGAAGAACAGGAAGTAGTAGAAGAAGAGGGGGTGCTCTTCAAAATAAAAGCACAAAACGTAAAGTGACAGAACTGCATTGTTTACCACGAACATCATTTGCTGCCATTTACACTCCCACCAAATCCTACTACAATGAACGAACGAGTACACAAAGAGCAAGTGAATTGTATAGGATTTCTTGACTCTAATAAATGAAAACCTTAAGTTGAACTATCAGAAGTATGTAGCTGAACTGTACAACATACACAATGAAGCCGTGTGCACACAAACAGTTGTTACTGTCTGTTCTACTCAGTTCTCAAGGAGAAGCACTAATTTTTGGATTGGTCTCTCAATAACTGAAGGTTTGGAGGGGGGATCTTGTTTTCTTTGAGGTTTTCGCTCTCCTACTTGCACTTTGACTCGACGGACTAAGCCATCGCTGTCTTGAACAGACTCCACCACTCGTCCTAGTGGCCAATGATTTCTCGGGAGGTTGTCATCGTTAATGATGACAATATCATTGACTCTGAGGTTACGCTGAGGTAAGTGCCATTTTTGTCTTGTGGATATGTTGAGTAGATACTCCCTTTTCCAGCGACTCCAGAATTGTTCAATGAGATACTGAACTCCCCTCCATCTCTTCGTAGCGTAAAAATCTTCCTTGACAAATACTCCAGGGGGAGGAAGAGCAACTTTAGATTTCATCGTGATGAGGTGATTAGGTGTTAAAGGTTCCAGCGCTTGTGGATCATTGATTCCATCGACTGTTAATGGGCGGCTGTTAACGATGGCCATGGCTTCATATAACAGTGTTCTGAGAGAGGCATCATCAAGTCGACCTGGGCACTGTGCAAAAGTGGCATTTAGCACATTTCTAATGGTTCTGATCTGCCGTTCCCAGACACCACCTGCGTGGCTGGCAGAAGGGGCGTTAAAGACAAATTCGCACTGCCTCTCAGTCAGGAAGATTTCAAGTAGTTTGGAGTCACATTGTTTAAGTGCTTCCTTAAACTCATTTCTGGCACCCATGAAGTTAGAACCTTGGTCACAATGTAGTTGTCGAACAGCTCCTCTGAGGCTGATAAAGCATCTCAATGCATTGATGAATGAGTCTGTCGACAAATCTTCGAGCATCTCGATATGGACAGCTCTAGAGTACAGACATGTGAAAATTAGGCCATATCTTTTGTATTCTTTGCGGGCTTTCTTTACAATGAATGGGCCAAAACAGTCCATGCCGCTATACGTAAAAGGTGCTGAGGCTTCAAGACGTTCTTTAGGGAGTTCAGCCATCCGCTGGTTCTCTGTCGGCCGTCGAAGTTTCCTGCAAAGCACACAGGTGCGTATCAGCTTAGCAACCAGCTTGCTCCCACGAATGATCCAGAATCCATTGGTCCGGAGCTCCATTTGTGTCTGGCTTCGACCCTGATGGTGTGTCTTAGCGTGGTAGTGGGACACAATCAGCTTAGTAACATGACTGTTGTTTGGTAGAATGACTGGGTGCTTGACTTTGTGACAGAGAGATGACTGTTTTAATCTCCCAACAACGCGGAGAAGTCCTTCAGACCAGAAGGGCTCAAGACTGAAGAGAGAGCTTGAGTTTGAAAGGTCTTTTCCACCTTGAAGCATTTTTATCTCATGGGAGAAGGCTTGCTGCTGTACGATTTTAATTACTGACTCAGCAGCTCTCTCACGCTCCTCTACAGTCACATGTTCACTACGTTGTGTTTGTTTAGACCTCAGTCTCTTGATTCTTGCAACTACCTTTACAAGTGTTGTCCATGATGAAAACTGACTTAGACGCCTGAGGATGTCATTGCAGTTATTGGTTTCAGCTGCAAGCACTTGAATTGTTTTGACCTCAGGATCACCGACGAGTAAGTCTGTTGAAGTGCTGGGCATTAGATGTAATTCACACTCCCAGAGAAACTTTGGTCCTCGCATCCAGTTCGTTGAGTGAATGTCTGAAGCACGAAGACCTCGGGATGCGTGGTCGGCCGGGTTTTCAGAGGTGTCCACATAATTCCATTGATTAGGATCACTGTTATCTCTAATCAGTTGAACACGGTTTGCAACAAATATGTGGAACCTGCGAGCATCATTGTTGATGTACCCAAGCACGACTTGCGAATCAGTCCAGAAGAATTCTTGATCAATTTTCATGTCAAGTTCACATTTTAACACGACACTGACCTTTGCCGAAATCACAGCTGCTGCGAGTTCTAGCCTCGGGATACTTGTGACCTTTGAGGGTGCGACCCTTGCTTTCGCCATCACAAGACTGCAATGGACTTCATCCTTGTCATTTTTGTA